GTAAAAAAGGAATAAATGGATCAACAATGCATCCATTTAGTCCATTAGCAGATATGGTTATTAGAATGGAATTTAATAGATTAACACATTTAGGAAGATGTAATGGGAATCCACAAGTAGGTAAAATTATAATTAAACCACCAAATCAAAAAGAACAAATATCAAATGTATTTACATTTAATAAATCTACAAAAATATCAGAAACTTTTATTATTAAATGTAAACCAGGAGATAAAATTGAATTTAAAGTAGAAGAACCAGGATTATTATCTAATACTACAATTGATAAATCATCTATTACTATTCCTGACTTTAAAGAAGGTGAAAAATCTGAAGAACATTTACCAGGAAAAAAAGGAAGTACATTTGATTGTAAAATTCAATGTATTAGAAGTGTTTATCATAATGTTTTTCCTCAATTTATTCCTCAAGATAATGATTTTATTAATGAAAATGAAATGAAATTTTATCTTTATTTTGATAAAGCAGAAAAAATTAAAGCTGGTGATATTGGTGGAACTAGTGATGCTTATGTTAAATTTAAAACTTCTAAATCAAAAGAAAAGAAGACTTATGTTTTTGCTCCTTCTGTTAATCCTGATTGGAATAATGCTTTATAATTAAAGGTACTCTTAGTGAAGAAATTATTTTCCATTTGTTCGATAAAGACACTCTCACTTCTGATGATCATTTAGGTGATGCTAAATGGAAAATTGACCCATTATTTAATAATCAATGGAAAAAATTTAAACTTCAAATTGATAAAAAATGTTCTCTCTGTATTGAAGTTAAACGTGTTAAAACTTTAAGTCTTACTTATAAAAGACTCCTTGGTTTACCTGTTCCTTCTACTCAATTCCAAGGTTATCCTCAACAACAACCATATCCTTATCCTCAACAATATCAATACCCACCACCACAAGGTTATCCTCAACAACCAGGTCAATATCCACCACAACAAAGTTATCCTCAATACCCACCACAAGGTTATCCCCAATATCCACCACAAGGTTATCCCCAATATCCACCACAAGGTTATCCCCAATATCCACCACAAGGTTATCCTCAACAACCAGGTCAATATCCACCACAACAAGGTTATCCTCAATACCCACCTCAGGCTTATCACTCTCAAGCTGCTGGTGCTCTTCCAAAGAAATAATTTAACTTATTTTTCTTATTCTAAATTTTTATGGTGGGTTGTATTTTTATTTGATGTTGTGTATTAAAAGTTGTTTATTAAACAACCAGACTTTCATTTATTCTATTTCATTTATGTGATTTATTTCTTTTTGTTGTTTAGGTAGTGTTAATTGATGAATGTATGAGATGGTACTACATCATTTATTTTCATTGTTTATTCTTGTTGTATATTCTAAACCAACATTTGCTTTAATATATTTTTGGTTATATATTTTGACAATACAAAATACATGTTGTTAAAAGATGAATAAATTGATTGATGATTAATATTTGAATATGTTGTTTTTATGTTATTTTTCATGTGACTAATTACTACTTCTTATTGTTTTTCTTATTGTTTATTGTTTATTGAAATAAGAATTGTCAAATGATTTGATAATTGTATCAATTAAATTATACATAATTTATTGATATTCAAACGTATTTGGTTTATTTCACAATCAGAATTATCTACATTTTGAAATGATAAATGATAAAATTGTATTTTATTAATTAAATTCGTATTATTCATTCTGATTATCAATTGAATAAATAATACTAAATCAAGTGAATAAACAGAATATGTGTGATATAATGATTATTAAAATTGATAATATGATAAAAATATATTAAATATTGAAATATCAATTTTTCATTCAAAATTATTCATTTTAATTACTACCTTGTGGTTATTATCAAAACAACGATTAATTTATTTATTAATAGTTTATTAATTGATTTCATTTAATACTACATCATAGATATAATCAATTATGTTAATACAGTTCAATTGGACTGGATTATAATGATAAATTATAATATTGAGAGAGAAATGAATAATCAAATATTATACCATGTATTACAAATTTGTAATAAATAAAATACTAACATCACAAATACATTTTATCATCATAATTTATGATGATAATGTTATTCATTATTTTATAATTCTATATTCAGATAAATTTCTATTGATTTTTTATCATTACACTCAATGAAACATATTTCATCAACATAAATATTAATTTGTATTCAATATAATTACAAAATGATATTAAACAGTGTGAGTTTTGATAATTATATTATAATTGACATTGACTCATAACAGCAACGAAAAAAGCAAATAATTGGAAATGAAGATAAAGAAAGATATAAAAGAATAAAAAGAAAGTAAAAAGTAGAATATGATGAAGAAAGAATAAAAGTAGAAAGTAGAGAAGATAAAAAAGAAGATAAAGTGTAATAAAACAAAAGAGATGATAAAAGAAGAATAGAAAGAAAAAAATAAAGGATGCAAATTTTATT